TTATACATAAAGAACGTTGGTGTTATACATAAAGAACGTTGGTGTTAAACATAAAGAACGTTGGTGTTATACATAAAATGAATATGAAATATGGTGATGGTAGAATCCGGTGAATCTGTGTCTAAATGTGCTGTGGTGTTGTAGGTGTAGTTCACCTTTCTGCAGGTGAGGGATGCTCCCCTGAGCCATGATGGAGATCCAGGTGTTCACGTCGGTTCCCTTCCTGTTCACCCCGGCTTCATACAGAGACTGAGAGGTTCACACATAACAAAAAGATCACGGTCAAAATCGCTCCACGGTACTGAGGTTCAAAGGAATAGTGAAGCGTTTCCGATCACTTGTGCTTTATTGATTGATGGATTGCTCATTTAATATAATTGATTGATTACTGAGTGTCTACATGAGAAAAGCTTGACAGCATTGTGGCATTTGGGGCTTTTTATAAAATGTCTTCTACTATCTTTTGGGAGTTATATCCAGGTCGACTCACTCTGGCGTCCTCGTCAATCTTCTCATAGTCCACCACATTAGAGGGTTCATCTCTCTTTGTCTGTAAATCAAGAAAACATCACGTCACTGTTGAAAATGTTGAAACTTCAGTAGAACTGTTTGTTAGAGCTGCAGTTGTTGTCATTGTTCTCAGAGACAAATAAAATAACATTTAAAATGGTTCAGAACGATGAAATCAAGTTATTATAGTACCATATATATACAAATACATGCTAATACCACACTGTAAAAACACTATTACAGTAAAAGTACTAATACCAGGTATTAAGAAATCAGTATCAGAGTATTTTACATTCTCTTCTGTGTCAAATGTTTGATGCATTGAGAAGCGTTTACAGAACTCATCCAATCAAATGAGCCTTAAACACAGATAATGGAAGACGACGAGTGACCATTAGCATCTGAACTACCTGAACCAGCGCCAGCAGCAGTTTAGCGAAGTCTCCCGATGTGTCTCCTGCTACGTCTTTGTCCACCTCCTTCTTAAACACTGCAGAGACAAATAAAGAGATATGACCATTAGCTAATGTTAGCCTTAGACCAACTAGCTTTGTATGTAGCTGATGATACAACTTAGCTAAAAAACACAGAGTTTTGCTGATGTTTTGTCATTTTCTTCCGGCTGCTAATTAACCACTTTAATTCTTAACTTCTTCATTTCAGATGTACTGGTTCTGTCCAAACGTACTCTCTTTGTAAACCTCCTTGATCTCCTCCAGTTCTTTGTTGTTTCTGGAGCAGACGATCTCGATCAGGGTTTCCTCATCCGTCCCCAGTCCCTGGAACCACAACCAGCAGCTCAGATCAAAGCTCTTTTAGAGACATCTGATTGGTCAAAGAAAACCGGCCCCTGAGAATCTGATTATTAAATACTGATGTATCAAAGTAGATTAGCATCTGTAGGATTCTACTGTTAGCTACCTTCAAATGCTTTCAAACTTTCTATACAGCTAACTCATTCAGTGCATCATGTTTGACTTTTAATGTAATATTTGGAAGATAGAGATGAAACCATGTGTGTTTTACTGTAGTAAAGTACTGAGTACTGTCCTCCTGTACTTGTGTACTCTTGTACTCGTATACTGAGTTCTGCTGACTCTGACCTTCATGGAGGCTTTGAGCTCAGAGGCGTCGTACTGAGCGGTGGTCTTCATCAGACCCAACATTAGAGCCTCTAGAGGACCGGACAGCGCCCCCTTCAGGGCCGTCATCAGATCCTGAAACCGGGACACACGAACGTCTTTGTAACCACGAAATGACACTAAAGCAGAAAGAAGCAGCAGGTGTGTCTTCATGTTCTGATTCAGGCAGAAAGGTTCGAACCTTCTTGGCGATGCGTTCGTACTCAAAGGCGATCTCTCTCCGCTGCTCTCCGCTGCGTCGGGTCAGGATGTCGATGACGGTCTGTTCGTCTACTCCTGCACAACCAGGATTCATGTTTTTAGGTTTAACTTCAAAAGAGGTGGGTTTAATACATTTCATCATTGGTCCAACACATTCAAGCTAATAATGGAAACTATTAATATCCATCACGTGTATGTTGACTTTTACTGACTGAATGTACATGTTGCTGCTCATATTTAACTTGCTCCTACTTCACTGAAGTAAAGGATCTGAATCCTTCAAGAAGATCATCACTTTATGAGAATCACCTGACTTCCAGATTTATGAGATCTTTGTTCATTGATCTCAGATAAAAAATATAAATATGAATATAGAATATTAATGAAACATGCATTAAGGCCGAAAGGGGCCATTTGACCAAGGAACCAGTTCAACCCTTAACAGAAGGACCTTTATTATCACTAGTCCACTGTGATAATATAGTTTCTAGCAGATAAAGAAAGAATGGTAAATAACCTTTTAATGGCTGCAGCAGTCTTTGGAATTGACAACATCACGGGTTAAGATACATATTTTACATTGAGATAGGGAGGAGAAAGTGAGGGGTTAAAAGAAGGCCTGTGTTCATATATATATATATATATATATATATATATA